TGTTATTTGAATTTCTAATAAATAAATTAATTATGTTTTAACCATTCCAAATTATCTGTACCATATTCTCGTACATACTAAACACTCAAATATTGAAAGTTTATATTGAAAGTTTATATTGAAATGAGATTATGCAAATTCGAAGATACTTCCTAAACATTGCAAATGTAATCATCAAAAAATAATTTCTTTTAAAGGGGAAAGATATTTATATTCGATTGAAATGAAAAACTGGCAAATCATTCCAGTGTTACTTCATATACAGAGTGTCCTTTAACTGCAAATGCTTAATCTGCAGGCAAAAAGAAAACAAAAATGTTATACAAAATTCGACACCAAATACTTTTGTTACAAAAAAAAATATTGTACATGAAATATGTAAGCCGCGACACATTTTCCAGAGTATAAAAATTAATTGCATTATTTTGTCAGAGAAATTAAATATGTGTTTTATCAGGTGCTAACAATTTTGTGTACAATAAAAACAATTAGTTCAATAAAAAATAATTAGTTCCTAGTATTTTTAATTCCTCACTCTGAAATGTTCTTATGCTGTGATACAAGCTTGGTTACGATGAATAAGTAATAACATTACGAAGTTTTTGACAATTTTACTTTAACACTAAACGCTCAGTCGAATCACTTTAAAAATTTGATTAAAAATTCTGTATTCATTGTTATTTCTTCGTTCATTTAACATAATGACAATTCTTACATATAATTCTTTTTTTATTATTTACGTTATTTTTCCTATATTAAATTGACAATTACCTACATATATTCCTTTTATAAAAGTATGATCTTTATTTCATAACTAGTTATTTAATCGAATTTGAAGTGCTCCATAAATAAAAATGATAAAAAAGAAATGTATTACTATCTCTTTTATACACGCAATATTTGTTCATAATTCTGTAACAAAATGTTTGCTGATGAAATTTATATAACATTTTTTCTTCTTGTTTACTCGTAAAACTAAGCTAACAATCTAAATTTGGGATATCCTGTATAAAGATAAAAAATAGGGCAATCTTTTATATGCCAGTAAAGATGTATAATCCTTTGATAATCGACGAAGAATAATTAAAAATGAACCTTGTCATGTGAACATTGTCATGATCTTTGAAACTATGAAAGGAGATTTCCTGTCCAAGTATAACAATGTAAATCGAGGAATAACGCAAATTCAGCGATTAAATACACAACTTTGTTAATAAAATTCAAATCGAAAAGTACAGATTTTGTATTTTTTAGATTATTTTTACTCTTACGAGCAGACTATGCAATGCTTCCAGAATCAAATATTTAAAATCTTCTGCCATTCTTCCACGAATTCTTCGAAACTCGATCAAAAATTCCATCGTTGTGAATAATATGATAACTTCAAAGAACTCTCGATTAGTACCAAAGCCAACGAAACGCAATAAAAAATAAACGGATTTCTCGATATGTCATGTAATCAGGATCATATAATCAAAAGTTTGCACCTTGAATCAATAAAAGGCATGACGATCGCGAAACCAGAACACTATTCTGACTCGCAAAATGTAAATCGAGAAATACGTCGCTAAGAATCAATGACCATCACAAATCGACGACTGGTAATACAATAATCGCTGACTTTTCAAATAGATGTCATTGATGACTAAGCAAATGTCTCACTAGCTATAATCGAAAATTATAGTGATTTCAGTTAATTCATACTTCTTGTTTACATAAGGTAATTATATCTATTATCATAAGGAAATTATATTTTTTCAAATCGTGATATAGTATGCCAGAATATACAGCTGGACATTAACTATGAAATTAGAAGGATGATACTTGTAAAATTTGAAATGAGTACATATTAGGATATTTACAAAAAACGTAAATTAAATAATAAATTGTAATTATTAATATTTATAAAATATATTAATAAATTTGTTAAGTTTTGCAATTGTAAAAATTTGTTAAATAATGTTAAAAACCCTTTTGAATCTAAAATTCAAATAGATGAAAATTCTAAAACTTTATACAATGTTATAATAAAATTCTCGTTTTCATATCCACGTTTCGTGACTATTACTTTCAATTCTAATGTCCGTATTATTAATTTTTTATGAAGATTCTAAATGATTATAATTTTAAATGCAGTTCGTGACTAACAGATTACAGATGCAATTAAATACAATTTCATATTTTTGGGGACATAATTAAAAAAGAATTAAAAACTTCGTTCGAAAATCATTTTACGTATTAAACGTTACGCTGTACTTCGAATATTCTACATATATATATATTTTTTTTTATACAATATGTACCGTTAAATCGCCTATTAATGCACAAAATTTCTCCACTATAACTTTTGAAAATTCCCTGGATCATCGTCTTACGTATAAACACAAAATTCTATTTCCTTATATATGACAACGCTCTAGTATTTATGGACGGAAGTGACTAAACTCGAATTCTGAAAATCTTGACAAATATCACTACGACTTTCAACCATTTCACGCCATTTGCTTCGAGAGTTTACTTTCGCCAACGCGACGATGGCAAAAATGATAGTCCGTGACAGTCTCTCGAAGCCAACGATGCACCTCAAATGCAAACCATTATCTGCGTTTTATCGAGCTCTCGTAGAATCGAGATCGTTTTTAGATCGCGTAAATCACCGCGATTATTTATCAGCGTTGTTCGAGGAGCGCGAGAAGAATATGTATCTGGCATTCGATGTTTAGCCAACTAAACAAGCGTTCTGGGAAAATAAACGACGGCTACCACGTGCGACTGCTCGGCTTGGTTAATTCGGCACGGCGCTATCGATAACCAAAATAGAAAAGAATTCGTCGAATATTAACAAATCCTTTTCCCGTGTCCCGCGAGCATCGTTTCAAATATTTTTCGCTGATCGTTGGGACTCGTATGAATCGTAGAATCGATTCGATGGCACGTCAACTGGTTCCGATATCGAATTGGAAAGTACTCGCGACAAAGACAACAGGTGTATGTGTCACGTTGTTGCAAACCTCTTCAACGATTATTCGCAGAGAATCCTGACTGGTGGATTAAGGACACTCGTGTGCATTCAATAATGACTGGCAGTGTTGCGTCGTTGAATATTCTGTTTCGTTGAACGTGATGCTGAAGTAATATATCCAGGATGTAATACGTATCAAAAGTGAACAGAAAATATTAAAAATATTATAATAATATAAGGGAATTTTCCCCAGTCTATCTTTGCAAATTAACTACTTGGGAAAAACATCTTTGTTAAATAAAAATTTTCTTAAAAACCAAGTCCACGGTAAATTGAAACTAAATTCAATTACGAAGTTAAATTAGAAAAAAAATTAAAAGAATGAAAAACACGAAATAACTCAATTTCTTGAAGTAGAATAACTCGCATTCCTATAATTGCAATACAGAAACGTTGATTCAGGAAGGTTAAAAAATAAAAAAAACTAGTACGAGAGAACCCGCGTAATCTATTCGATTCAGAAAAGAAAATTTCAAACAGAGAATTGATGGAACACGTGTACGAAGAATAATTCTAGTAACGATAAATTAATCAAAACTTTCAAATATACCAGCGATTCTTCAGATTTAAATAGAGGATAGATGAAAGAAATGTTAGCAAAGTAAGTCGCGCTTTCTTTCGATAAATATCATAATCCATCGGCGAGCACTTTCAATGAGAAAACCGCATTAAATTGCGCGTGATCGTTCGTTAAATGCGTCTCGAATCGATTTTGCGTCAATCCGCAGGTATCCCAGGCTGCTTCAGAAAAGGTGCAACGCATATCTTCCGACTGGTCGTCCATGAATGCCACGATACTAATGATTCAAGGCCACTATTGACAATCCACGACCTATTATTATTTTCAAATGCAACATCGAGCTACGAACAACCTTGCTTGGTTTTTCTCGTTTCCTACCACATTTTAACATCGACTGTTAACTAAATAAATAAAAACAGAGAAAGAAAATGAAAGAAAGAATATTTTGTTTAACTGAACAGACAATATCGAAACTGGAATTTCACGTAGAAGATATAGTTTGATCGGGCAACGATTGTCATAAGTAGCTTATCGAGTTTTTATCGAAGGCTTAATTCCGTTGCTATCGTTCGATAGCAGTATCCTTTTTTTATTTGTATATATTATCAGCAGAATGATCGTTACTTCAATAACTCATGAATATGCATGAGACTAGAATTTAAATAAAACGATTTTTAAACTGAACGTTCAAATATATTTCAAAGTACAAGTAATTTAGAATTTTCAGAATATTAGTTTCAATATTCTACGAATATGTTACTCTGTAAAAAAATTTCTTTAAAATATATTTGCCGCGTGCACGTGTAATATTTCTAGCTATTGTATAAAATAACATAAAGAAATATCTACAGTCCTTTCAGTAACATCAGAATTATTCGAACAATAATTGCATTACATCGGATGAAAGGCACCCTCATAAAAGTGGAATAATAGCGTTCAGAAACAACGGAATGATTCAGGGCATTTTACCGATGCGAGCCATTCGAAACATTTGAACACGTGTACCAGAGAACTGGCGATGGAGTCCATATAGTGGGGATAAGCTCGCGCGTTAGGCACAGACCAATGCTAACGTCTAGTCGATAAAGTTGACTATTACCGCGTTGCTCGAGCAAAAAGTCAAGCAAATACGTTCGCAATATTCTGACTGCGTGTGTTCGAGTTTTTGTTTCTTGAATTCTCTACACGTGACAAAAGTACGATCTCTAATTTTCTTTATCTTTTATCATAATTCGTTTTCATTTGTAAGTTGATTACTACAAATAGAACATCATGTCACCATTTTCTAAATCTATTACATTTGAACAATAAACAGTATTTAATCCTTATTTAGGTCATCATCCTAGAAACTTAACATCAACATTTGTAATGTACGTAAAGTTTATGACTACTAAGAGCAAAAACCATTCTATCATATTGGAGTGTGAGACGGCGTATAAGAGTAAAAAAGTTACTTACCGTTCAGACCATATTTCTCCTGATTCCTCTTGACTTGATCAAGAGATAATCCTTTGTCAGGATCAACATTAAAGTAATTTAACACCTCGTCCACTGTTTTGCAATGGCCGTCCTCCATGGTTACCTCTGTATTAGTACTTCACTAATCTTATCTGTTCAGTGGCTGTCCACGTTCATTCACACTGCAGTCTTCTGTAATTCAAGCAGACAATTACAGTTTACTTACTTATTGCAATTACTTGTTTATTTCGATGAATATTCATCATCCTCATAACATTCACAAATAAACTGTTATTCATACAATGGATATTAACTACAAATGATACACAATATATAAAACTGAGATTACTAAAGAAACGTACAAACAACGAAGACGAATATTTTTAGGTGCTTTAACTCCAACCGTTTCAAAAAACATTGAAACATAACCAAGGAGGAGAATAATCCTCTGGATAAGAATACTTAGGAATATTCCATAATTCCGCGAAAATTCACAATTTCCAAGTTCCAAGAAAGTTCCAAGAAAGCGGAGCTTCGACAATAACGAGGAAAAATCACCGCGTGGTCGCCAACTGCGAGCCAAACCTCTTCAGGTTAAATCCATCGTGGAACGCAACATTCCAAGGTGTACGCGCCGTGATTTCCCCTGATCATTCGGCACGAGACACACGGAGGTTAGTAACAGAAGTAAACTCACCGGGGATCAGTACGAAGTATTTGTTTCGGCGACGTGTCACAGAGAAATTACGTTACGGCTGTCGAATATTTAGGTTAGCTACAGGTCCTTAAGATGCACTCAAGCACACAGTGAGAGAAAGAGAGAGAAAAGAGAGAACGAGAGATGGGGGAGGAAAGGAAAAGAGAGAAAGACGAACAAGAGGAAAAAAAAGAAACGAAACGAACTGGCACGAACAAAGTTGTGAGACACTGAAATGAAAAGTTCTACGGCCGGTCGACGACGTATCACGACACGCGAGCACAGAAACTTAAGACGCACGTCATTTTCTCAACGGTATATTTCCTCTAAATGCTAAGCAAACCTCCTCTTCCGTAAGACTGACACGGCGAACGGCAAATCATTGCACACGTGCGCCACCTCGTGGAATGCGCCATTAACAAGTTGCAACGTAGTTGCCCGCGCGCCGTCTGTAATTCCAACTTACTCGTGTATATTCGACGAACTGACGATTCCTTTACGCGTTACGATTACGCGATATGGATGTCCCTGTACTTTCGAGGCTGCGACGTTTTTACGAAGATAATTCGTTCGTTCGCTAACGAGTTTCCCGAAAATCGCGTCGCAGCGCGGCGCATCACACAGTATGAAAATGCGTGCGAGTCGAACGAACTGAGCATGTGGAGCGACGCCATTGGCTGGACAGCGTTCGTCAAGTATGACGCACTCAGCTATTTTCAGTCTTCTGCTAGTCTATTTCCTTGGCGCGTATTTTAAGACATTCAAAGGACATCGCTGTGTATTGTCGTTATATAACCTTATATTGCTCTTATAATTTCATTTCGGCAATTTCGCGACCGATGATTCGCGGCAAAATGTTGCCCGTCAATTGAAAATCTGAACGATCAAACGAAGCGTGTAAACGAATCGACAGCGAACAATTGCTCAAGTGGTTTCGTTATATAACTAAGCAACCGGGAGTTTGCAGATTGTATGAAATTTTTGAAACTCATTACGTAACAAAGGCCCGATGACTCGAAGATGTAGATTCTTTTTTTATATATAAATATTCCTCGTTTATTTAACCGATTTAATAAGTGGAAAATCAACTTTTCGTTGATATTGAAGATTTGCTCGTTCTGTTCTTTTTAACAAGTGAAATAACATTATGTAATATATAAGTACAGTTTGCAATATCCACGTGTGTGCCTAAAATTGATTTTATATATCTTCATTCTTACGATAATTATAATTCATCAGGTAACGTTAATCGTTAAAGTAAATCCAGCATACTAAATCATTTTAAATATCGTACACCAGCAAACTTGCACAACAAAGGACAAGTACTACAATTACCACTGGTATCATTTTACTATTAATTATCCAAATAAATGTTAAAAATAAAAACAGGAAAGGTACTTGTACGAACCTCAACTCGACGATAGAATAAAATTTCGAGTTCTATAATTTCATTTCTCATTTTTTACTCCACAACACGTATGCATATTTAAATACCAAGAAAAATGAAGAGGCAAAACGAAACAAATTTGAAAAATAATTTTGTTTCTTCGTGAGTATTAAAACGACACATTAGTATGAAACATAGACGAAACTTGCATCGACGACATTCATTGGATGGTCACACGTTCAAAGTCAGCGGCAATTTAAAATTCGGACAGAGTACAAAGGTCACACACAACCAGTGTAACAAACGCCGAAGCCAAGGTTAGTGCTAAACTTAAGCGTGAATGGAAGAGCAGCAGCTAAGCCGGGTGGCTTGAACAGGGTTACGGTCGTTGGAATCGGCCAGTGACAACTTCACAATCTCCGGAACCCGATTTGTAATCCTATTTACCCGAACAAGTTCCACAACCAAAAGCCCGTGTCATCATATTATAAAAGGAAAAAAAAAAAAAAGAAATCACAAAACATCGAATCTCTCTCTCTTTCTCTCTCTACTTTCTTTCACTAAAAAAAAAAAAATCTGTAATTCAAATATTCGAAAAATCCTGTCGACTAACCCCTTCGACGTTAATGCGTTGACTCGTCCCGTGATAATAAGAAATCTGAACGAGTATCGATCATAATCAGATTGGAAATTTAAGAGAAAATCGCGCGCCAAAATGAACGGGCAGGAACAAACAGACGATTCAGGCTGGTCGATTGGGACTGCGGAACACTTGGGAACCGGTCCGAAACACCGTCCGGACGACCAGCTCGCTCGAACGCCCGGGACGCGACTAGTCGGCCAAATCGCGCGTGCCCCTGCGGACCATTTTAGCACGTCTATGACGACGACTTCCTAATTATTTTGGCAGAGATGGCCAGCAGCCACTCTTATTTCTCTACCCCTCCCATCTTTCGTCATTGCGTTCATCTCCGTCTCATCAGCTACCCCTGTCTCTTTACCAAATCCTATTCCTATTATACTTTCCTTTCTCCTCTTTTTCTTTCTTCAATCGATTGCCAACCATGTATGATTTTCTGATGAGTTTTCGTTGATATTCTAACCACTATTTTTTAAATGATTTGCTAAAATAAGTTCAACTCTAAGAAACGACTGACCTAACTGTTTCTCAATCGTTATTATTAAGAATTAATTGTTATACTGGTTCTGACTCTGATGCTTATTTAAGAGATAGATTCATGTTTGTAACGAAGCAAAGAAAAGGAATTATTTCTAACTAAAATGAGCTAAAATGTTAATGGTATATAACAGCGTTAGGCAATATACCAACGATGATATAATATTCGGAATGGTTGGCGGCGTGGCGGAACAGTTTCTATTTGAAGATAAGATGCAACACGATGGACGGACTATAAAGATAGGAAATGTAGTACGTTTGTTGGCAAACAAGTAGAGGTCGTGTTTGTATGTAACGTGAGCCTCACATCGGCACGTCCGATGAAGTAACATAGACTACGTTGGTTTGGCTGGCTACTTAAGCTAGTTGATACACTTTCAAGTAACCAACATTCGCTAGACATCAATTTAATATATATCACTAAATTTCACGTTTCGACAACGTGAAATCGAGCGTAAAACATGACGGATGAACAGCTTTTCGGCATTTCTGATACTTTCACGCGCACAGAAAACGTTCCTAAATTCATTCCTCTTGTACGATGTTATCTACGAGTATGCATATGTACTAACTTATCAAATTCTCTATACGATCCTAATCTTCAAACATAACGTGATATTCCTGGAACAAATCCATCAAATTTTTCACAATTTCGGAATCGACTTTGCTGAAACAAAATTTCCTTGAATTTCCAAATCCAAAGTCGAAGAGCCTTTCGACTTTTGTCACTTTACACCGATCGAAACGTATCAAGAACCGATCAAACACACATGAAGTCCTTTTCGAGATGCATTTAGACATTGACGAAGTATGGCGATCTCTCGCTATAGCTATCCATCATTGAAAGATCCACAATAAAACGGTTCACGGCTTTTCTCGGCTTAGCTTTATCGGTCACACAACACTGAGCTCGTCTTTGATCGTCGTCTCCTCTTTTACCGTTCTCATCGATTTTTTTTTTTTTCGCATCACACTGTGTACATCTATCGTCGTCACAAAAACACTATGAGTGTCTCGGGGGAGTGTCTCCTGTGTTCACCAGTTGGTTGTGCTCACGCGGCAAGCAAACTTACCAATGCTTCTTCCTCTAGTACTTGTTCCGCTTGTCGTTTCCTCACCGAATGGATTTCTTGAACGAAACCGGCACCGGTGCGGCTGGGTCCCGGTCGCACTTTGCGATTCTACGATCGGCCGCGCGTTGCTCTCGTGTTGTACAACCGACCGATATAGAAAAATACCGACAAAAGAGAATAAAGTAAACTAAATAGAAGGCGACGGATATATCACACTGCGGCGAACTTTGCAAGGCCTCTCTCTTGCGCTGATACGACGACGATCCCGATTACTGATTCGCTACTCCTCCCTGAACATCGTATCGTGAGAACGCGCGGTTTCCTTTGATTCTTCTGCTTTCTTCTTTACATGAAGGGTGTCGAGGGCGAAAACAAACAAACATTCAAAGGGCAACGCCTGCGCTGCTCAACGAAACGAAGCGACGTACCTCGCCGAAATTCCTTTAAATAGTCCGTAGGCGTCGCTACCTGGCGGCGAGACATCGAACGAGGGAAAACTCTGGCCGGAAGCCAGTGGTCCCGGCGGCTGCTGCACAGCCTCCCAGTTTGTTTCTCATCGCAGTTTTTTCCATCTAACCTTCGAATTTCACCAGTACACGCTCGAAACCAGCTAGCGATTGTCCGCTATTAATCAGCTCTAAATGCCTGCCGGTGGAATTACAATCCATAAACAAAAGAATGGATGTACGATCGCTGGAAGTAGTTCGGTCCAGCGACTTCCGGGATCAGGACACCAAGCTCGCCATTACGGACATTCTACGAGTTGATTTTGCCACGAGCGTTTTGTTTCACGTAGATTTTCTGGGTGAAATAAATCATTCGTACTTCTGTTTCGTGCGTGTAAAATATTATAGAACGAGTGTAAAATATTATAGAACAAGTGTAATTTGAAATGATGGACATGTCAAAATCGACTTACAGAGTAATAACGAAAGGGTTGGTTTTATTTACAATGGAATGCCAAGTGGTATTTCCAGTACTTCATTCTTTTGGAAATGATTTTGAAAGTTTATAATTAGATATATATATATATATCATTGAATTCTGTCTTATAAGATATAAGACAGAATTCAATAACCTCAAATACAGGTGTGACGAAGGAGCTCAAGATCCTATAAGCGGCAGTTCCAAACATTTTAAGATCTTTTTCAAACTAACATTGAATCATCATTTCTATTCCATCAAATTCTACATTCTTCTAAAAGTAAAGGAAAGAAGAGTAATTAAATTTCCTTTCATCTCTAGCAACATTGGTTTTACTTTTCTTCGTCGACATCCCTAATTAAATCAAGAGATTTCTATTTCGAAAAACTCCAGATCCAAAACTTCCAAAACTTGCACCCTACAATCGAGATCGTAGATTTTACTTGTCGGTAGGAGGACACGTGCATGAGATCGAGGAGGTTTCAACAAACGATCACCCAGTTTCCCCACACACAATGCTCTTATTGGAAACGTTCAAGGTACGCATTTTTCTCAAGATCGAAAATAGGTGGTTGGCGTATATCCAAATGCGATATCAGCTCGAGCCTCGAAGACAATCTATCGACTGTGACCCCCAGGCCGATAGGTAGCATCACGGGATATTTATTATCTGGTGATTAGCGACATTCGGGCCAATTCTAGGACCGAATACGGCGATGGGTCGATCATCCTCCACGGGCGAGGAACGCGAGAAACGATTGGCGAACCTTGCTTCGTTCCCTCTCGTAGGAACCGCGACTGGTTATGTAATTATGGTCCAATACGCGGCGAATCTAAAATAAGATCGTGCCATTTTCATTTCTGTAATTGTTCCGCACTAATTTCGCTCTTGAAACTCCTTGTCTCGAGAAGCTGACCCGATTTCGCAGCCTCGGGACTTCTCCCAATCGGAAATTTTCGCTCGCCAACTTTCAACGTCTTTGTCGCCTTTTCGGCAGACTTTTAAACCATCGAATCGTCCATTTTCACGTTCATCTTCGTCCACGAGTGTCATCAAACGAATGACTGTGAAACGTCTTCGAGGACGACATTATACACTCATCTGTCAATCATAGGCTTTCGCTTGAAGTTTAATTGAAATGAACTTTATTCGCCTTTCAATCACGACGTGATTCAAACGGCAACTTAATTATCTAGATGTATCGTTTAACAATTGATATTGCTTTTCGTAGAAATAATAAGATTCTGAATGTTGGACTGAATTTCTGTAGGTATATGACGACATATATATCTACATGTGCAAGATTATGTGAGATTAGCAAGAAATAAGTACACTGATCCAAATTTATGTAGATAGCTGAAGGATCAAGTCTGTAATTAAACAACGTGATTACGTAGAATGCTCCTATTATTCTTAGTTGCGTATATCAACGAATGAATTTTATTACCATTTCTAATATCCAATATAAATCCAATCTAATATCCAAAATATTATTATTAATAATTATATACTATCTAATATATTATATTATAACGTTATATTATATAATATATATAATGTATATAATATATTATTATTATTATACTGGAATATATTTATATAACAAAGAGAGAAATTATATCATCCAACAAAAATTTTAATTTGCTACATGAATATCTTGTCTTGTCGAGTCACGAAACACGAATCCAAAAGCAGCATTGCTCCATCAGATTGCCGTCAATGATTGTCTCCAATTTCTAGTGAATTCTTATAAAAATATTCAATTTTTATCAAAAATGTATTGTGTGAAAATTTAAAATGCTAGAAGATTAAATTCAACCTTAAATGATGAAGGTGACTTTCTTGAAATTAGTATAAAATAATATATTATGTAACATTTTGTAAGTGTAAATTAACATCGAAAAAAACCTAGAAAAGTGCAAATAAGCGGCCTTCTGATTATTCTTGCAATTTTACAAAAAATTCTATATGTAGCACAAATTTTCTATATAGTATTGGATGCTGTATTTTTGAAAAAAAATGTTAGAAATATTAAAGAAACATTATCATTAAATAAAATAAAATTAAAAAGAATTATTATTAAATTAAATAAAATTAAAAAGAATTATTATTAAATTAAATAAAATTAAAAAGAATTATTATTATTAAATTAAATAAAATTAAAAAAAATTATTATTAAATTAAATAAAATTAAAAAGAATTATTATTAAATTAAATAAAATTAAAAAGAAATATTTCTGATTCGGGTATGTTCCAAGTATAGAATTTTCAATAATATTTTTAGTAAGTAAAATAAATTTCATATCTACGTTCCTTTAGTAAGTAAAATAAATTTCATATCTGTTTAATTATGTTCATAAAGATATGAATTTGTACAATCACAGTTTAGTTGTAAGAAGAAAAACAGATAGTTTTTGTAAAGGATGATTTAGAGAGTAGTAAAAAAATAATTGTTATTTATAATATACTATGTCTAATCATAAAAGCCTCTGAGTTAGAGATTTTGGTTCCTGGATCGTACATTCCCATACAGCGTACCAAGAACATTATTCATAAATAGGAACAGAAAAGAAACATCTTTCGCCCACGCGACGGCACTTCAACGATTCAAATATAAAGTCTAATCCACATCAATCTTGACTTTAATTCAAGTGAAACAAAATCATTTTATTTGTGTAAAAAAAGACATGAGATTTTATCAATTATTCATTCATAATTTTTTTTTCATTCAGATTCTCTAATTAACATCACCTCTTCTTCGCTGCCGTAGATGCTCATTATTTAAAATTGAATTAATTATTGTTAAATTTGAACAATCAAGCATAATACGTTATGACGCGTTTAGAAATAATGAATTTTTGTGAAAATTTAGAGGTTCAAAAATACGCGTAATATGCGTGATATATAAAATATTCAAAATATAATATTTCTTGTGATCTCTAATAAATGTATAAATAAAATATAAAATATAAATAAATATATATATAAAATATAAAATAAAATATAAATAAATATATATATAATATAAAATATAAAATATAAATAAATGTATATATATATGTAATATATATATAAATATATATATATAATATAAATAAATATAATAAATATATCTTCTATTCTAATAAATATATAAAATATAAATAAATATAATAAATATATCTTCTATTCTAATAAATATATAAAATATTCAAAATATAATATTTCTTATGATATCTAATATAATATTTCTTATGATATCTAATTAATTTTCCAGTTTTTTTAACTATCTCTGTGAAAATATAAAATGGCATAGAAATTTGCAATTTATTTATTGCACTAAACTGATATAACGCACACAACGGTACGAGTACCTACAAACACAAATTTAGTCGAAAGAGATGAACAAGCATTTAGTTTAAATGCACCGTAAGGTAACGGTTTTTTAAAATGTGAAGTTTCATGTTTCTTTCGTTCTTTTCTCATAAAACATTCATTGTCGAAAATTTAGTTTATAGCAAAGTGCAATAAATTATATTTTCTGTATATTCAATAATTCATGAACTAAAAGACGAAATTCATTCGAAAGTGATACTTTATGTCAAGCATTAAATATAACAATCTATCAAGGATCAAGCAGTAATTTATTAAAGTAGCAATAACATTGAAAAACTCAACTTTTTTTTTTTCTTCATTTCACAAAGAATTTTAAAGTTGATTTCCTCGATATTTGAAAAACGTTCCCTTTGATTCTGGGTGTCGCATTACATGTAACACTAACTTGTATAACTTGACTAATGCGTACGAGACCTAAGGAAAGTCGAAGAGGAAGGAAGAGAAGAGCCACGCAACGGTCAACGTTCTGCTTCTTACGTGGATTCTAAATACATTTTAATATACGACTGTGCTCGACTCGCGTAGTGTTCGCCGTCCATGAAAATTTGGTACGCGTTAAATTCGTTCCATCCAGGCCAGCTGATCGAGGCGAGGACCTTCGATCGTGCGCCTCGCACCGAAAATCGGAAATAAATATATTACCGACTGATCAGAAATAAACGTGCCGGGATAAACGTAGAATATATCGAAACGGAAACTCGATTCCGGGGAAATATCGGCGACTGACGAGAAATCGTCTCCTCCAATCGAATGAAAAGACGATCGAGGAATTTCGAAGAAAATTCTTGTATTATACATCGTTAGGCATTATTTGAATGAAACGCTTGAAACACATAATTATCTGAGTAGCGCAACATCTTGTTTGGCTACTCGATGCTATTTTGAAATAATCTTGCGATTTATTCGAACAAACCGAATAGTTTTTCTCGTTGAAATTATTTCATTATTTAGTCAACAAACGAAATAGCCTGCAATTTATTTATTGCACTCTTTCATTTTATTTTGTATATTTTGTGTTTTGTATTTGTTTCTGAAAATAATATTTCAAATACGTGGTTTCTAATTCTGTTTGAGTAAACTCCATCTTGTGCTGTGCCTGTGCTGCGATTATTTGTTATTCTGCTTCGATGAATT